CTCATTTATATGAAATGTTCTCAATAATAATCCACAACCTACAAAAAACTACCAACGTGTTTAATTTATGCTAATTCACAAGCTTGGGTGGCACACACACGCACACACACACACACACACACACAATGACACGCTGTTGTGTTGTTTTTACAGTGTTACTGTTTATTGCTGAGAGTATTAAAAAGACATTTCCAGCAGTAAGAGCTGCGTCTGCTTTGGTATTCTCGTCATTAATGATCTTAATAAGTATTTTTTTCTTCTCCCTCTATCTGTTCAGGCGACACACTGGGGGTCTGCAGGAACATCCGAAATAGGAGGAACCCAAATCGAGAAGCTTAAATGGCCATAAAGCTGTGTGGGCTGTCAGTAATGGAACCTAAGCTCTTCTCAGAGGCGCACACCACATTTACGGGTTATGACCGGAGTCTGCAGGAGAGGCAGATTGAAAATTGAGGGAGAGGAGTGATTTTGGTTGGACGGCGTTGTGGGGGAGAGAGATCCTATGGCATAGTCCATTAGACTGGTCAGTGGTATCTACTCTGTCCAAGATTGCCAGGGGGCTGAAAGGGAGCGAGTGTGTGTGGTGTGTATTCGTGTGTGTGTGTGTGTGCGGTGGGGGAGTCAGGTTAATGGTGGAGTATGTATCTTCAAACCCTCTCTTCCTGTCTCCTCTCCACGGACAGCTAGAGTTCTCACCTGCACTTCCACCCTTCATCCTCCAAAACCCCCACCACACCACATCTCCACCCCTCCTCTCCCCCCCTTTTAAAAATAGTGTCCCACTTGCTCATGGGCTGAACATTAAATAAACCTCCCTCCTTCACCCTTCATGCCCCCCATGTCTCCCTGGCACCAACCCCCTCTCCTCACTCGGAGGCCACTGTAACTTGGCTGTGCCCATCATTTATCACACCGTACACCAGGGCTGAAGTCACATGTGTTTGAGCCTTTTTCAGGCAAATTTCACCAATCTCATTCACCATCACATAATTATGATATCCCCAAACAGCAATTGAATCCTCAAATATATAGTTTGTATAATTTTTCTTCTCCTCCGGTGAGAAGTGGATGGCCAAACTAACACAACAATGGGACAATATGTTTCCTGCCTAGTGTCTGGATGGTTTGTCGGAAATCTGGGCTGAGCGACAGCCAGTATCATCATCATCAACTCTTGCCAGCTTTTCATATTTAAAGCCGGCAAGGGTTTAATTACCAAATGATGACAGTGTCATATGGTACCATGATGGCACAGAATGAGGGTGTGTAATGTGAGTGTGTGTGTGTGAGTGTGAGTATGTGTGTGTCTATCTCTCCCTGTCTCTGTTCTGCACATTTGTTTGTGGCAAATGTGTGAACACCTTTGTGTGTCAACATCATGTAGGTGTAGCTGAAGGGCCTGAACAGGGAGGCAGACAGCGGGCAGGAGGTGTTGCGGGACAAAAAAAAAACCCACAGTAAAACATCTGTAATTTGTAATTCTCTAGTATTCAATGGCTGCTCATGGATTAAAGATTAAAATCTATTGTCTTGACAGATGGGAGAGAGAGGGTAAGGAGAGGGGGACGCTCATGCACATCCCATTTCCATTTGTATATGAGCAGCACAGTTTGGCTAATCACAGTGGAAAAATAAGCTGTCTGCTTGCCTCACTCTGGGCAATGCCACCACCAGCCTTCAATCCAGCTGTGGAGACATTAAGACCGAGGACTCGTTCTGTTGGGATTGGACTGTGTCAGCACACAAAGACTATTTGTTTATTAATATTCCAGGGGGAATAAAGCACAGAGACACAGTGTGATCAGCAGATAGGAATGGCAGTACAATACAATAACTCCCGTCTTCCCAACACATTAAACCAGCTGTGAGGAAATGAGCTACCAAGATGCTGTGGATCACATGAAAAGAAAAACACTTTAGTCAGATGTGAAGGCCCAGCAATGCTGCAAGTTAGGTGAACGACATTTCTTTTTTTTTTTTTCTGTGAATACAATTTGTCATCAGCTTGTTTGAAATGTTAATTTTACACAGAAAGAGCAGAGTACGCTGCATGGATGAATTTCTTGTTTAGTCTGTGTGGTCCGTACTGAGAGGGCTGTGTGTGTGTGTGTGTGTGTGTGTGTGTGTGCGTAGGGGGTAATGGTCTGGTCAGTCGAGTGAAGCAGACCACCTGAGAGTTGTTTTTGGGCATTAGTGTGTGTTCTTTCTCTCTTTCTGTCTGTGTGTGTGTGTGTGTGTGTGTGTGTGTGTGTGTGTGTGTGTGTGTGTGTGTGTGTGTGTGTGTGTGATATATGACACTGGCCATCTGAAGGAGGTGCCTTGCTCTCCCTCTGCAAGTTGCATGAAAGGGAGCTGAGAAGCCTGATGAATTAAAGCCTCTCTTCAATAAAACATCAGAGTCTTTCAGTAACACACGCTTGAGATGCCCCAGTAATTGACTTTTGGACTTTCGGATTTACATGAACCCTCCAAAAGCAGCTTACCTGTGCAGCGATGCCCCTTGAGTCTGCATCTATTCCCTGCTGATGTGGATTTCCATAAACTCATGCAATCTTTTTTTTTTTCACCCCATCTCTGATAAATACAAAACTATCCACTGTAGATAATTTGAGGGATTTGTTGAAGTGTTTGAATTTATTAATCTTGAATAAAAAATCTCGCCAAATACATCTTAATCCATCGATATTTGGCACAGTTGTATTCTAATATAGTCAGCCTACAGATTCCACTCAATGGCTAATTACAGAATTACCATAAGTATTAACATTTTATTTATCTACTCGAGGAGAGTCTACTTGCAGTACAGTCAATTCAGCTGCTTGTATATTAATGTTTAACATCATTCTAAGGTAGAAAACATTGATTCTGTTTGGCTGCATAAAACCTGCCTTTTCTTTTTTAGTGAAAATAAAACATTTTACTTGACCATAAAATAAGACACACACTCATAGTGGACAAGTACAGTATATTGGATGTCATACAAACACATTTGTGACTGTCTGTCTGACCAAACATTATTCATTGCAGTCGGTCAAAGTAGCCCAAGAGGCTTCGGTACCTTTTTGTTGTCTCACAGCCAGAACCCAGAAGCTATTAAAGAGGGCAGGACTGGTGCGACGTACCATTTATTGTTCCATTCCTCACAAAGGCCAAGTAACATTTGCTCCTCACATCTTTCACCACATATGAAATGTGAATTCTGGGCAGGAATGGGAGATTAGAATTACAATATTACACAACAGATTGCAGTTAGAAAATGTCCTAGAGAGATGGTGCTGTGCAAAGTTGTGAATTCACTCCTCATCTCACTCAGCACATAATAAACTCTTTAACTAGATAGGGAAAGTAAGAATGAAGGGAGATCTATGGTAGGGGCAGAGTAGCTTGGCAGATTTAATTAATTACCGTGTATTAAAATGTTTGTTTACAGAAGTGAGCAGCTACGAGAGGTCCGATGTTAATTAATTTAAGGCGTACTTCCCCCCAGCCTAAGCGATGTGTCACAAGCTGCAGAGCTACTCCCTTTGGCAGGGACTCTGCGTCTCATTGGATATCCATCAATTGCTCTGAGGTGTGTAAGAAACAAAGATGCACGCTGCACAAATTAGACTCAATGTTAACATTATTGCATATTAAGATTTCTAATTAGCGAGCAGAAGGAAAAGGTGAAGTGAGGACTGTGTTGTGCATGGATGGTCGTTCAGGAAACACAGCAGCTGAGGCATGAATGTTTGTCTGTGGAGCATCCACATTATTTTTTGTTTAGCTATTGAAATCACTGGTCCATGCTAAGCAGCTCAGACACTTGTGTCCGAAGCATGTTGTTGACAGATTCAGCGGCTGGACAAAGTCAGCCTGCTTAACACGTGAGCAGCTTCTGTCTGGTCTCCAGAGGTTCCTCTTCGGACAATGATGTATCTGACTCCCCTTCGAGGTCAGCTGGACTGAGTCCAGAACATCACCTGCAATCAATAGTGTGGGTAAAGCAGGCCCAACTGAACGTATGTGAGGGCAAAGACTCCACTCAGAAGCCCACCGTGGGGAAAAAAGGCCTGCATGGCCCATTGCCTTGCTAAAACCAAACCACAGCCCGGTCTGGATGCCTGACACACTGGAGAGAGGTGGAAAGATGGTGAAAATAGAGACAGAAAGAAAAGAGACAAGTAGTTTTGAGGAAATAATAAAAGATACAAGAGGCGAGAAACAAAACCAAAATACACTTCAAACAATTACCCACACTGCCTTAAAACATAGCTGATAACAGCAAGGGTCTTCTTGTTGCAGTGGGCTACGTGAGGACACATCAAGCACAACACGAGAGAGAGAGAGAGACCCAGAGAGGGGGTGTTCAGTGAGGTGAGGAATGGCTGTATTTGTGGGGATGCGTGTAATTATTTCACTTCTTAGAGTCATTATTGGCCCTGCTTGCTGTACTGTCAGCGGCTAAGAACCTTTCATCTACATGCAGAGCACCAGTGTAATGTTCCACTGTGGCAATCTAACATGTGTTTCCCTCAAATTGCTCTCTTACCTCTGATCATGATTATCAGACCAGAGCTCCAAATAAGGGCAAGCACCTCCTCCATCTTATACAAACAGGCAACAAGACAAAACATGGTTAGAAAGAACTGTGAGACGTGATTGCAATTTTAATGACGAAGACCCTGAATAGTGGTAGAACATGGAAATTTCAACTGTATTGTCAATGACGTGCATCTAGGTATACTGTAGTTGAGAGGTCAAGTGTTTGAACTATTTTGAAACCCCAAATCAGTGGCTTACCAACCCTTCATTGAGAGAAAAAAAATCCCAGCTAAGCAATTTGAAATTATTCTACACAACCACACCACATCCTTCTTCGTCTTTTTCACACGCGTGCAAACATGCGCACCTTTTTCTGCAAAGAATGTGACAAAGAAAAACTAACCCATTAATCCAATATAGACTGGTGTTGCTTCTGCTCAAACAACCATGGTGTATTTTTTATTCTTAACTCTCAGCTGCCGACAGAGCTGCAACTGCTTCCTCAATCAAGACCTTCGAGTGCCACAGTGCAGACTCCACCGCTGAAGACACTGACGCCTGGGACACACAGGGTGAGGAAAGTGGCAGATGCTCTGCTGTGCATGGTGTATATGCGTATGTGTGTGTGTGTGTGTGTGTGTGTGTGTTTGTGTGTTTGTGTGAACTCCTACTGTAAGTGGGATTTGAAGAATTGGCACAGTCATCTGAGCAGCGCTCCGCATCTCTCACAAACAAATGAAGGCCCAGTGCCTTAAAGTGAGATTGATATCTCTTTCTGAACTTCACAGGGAATGTTCTGAATATGGAGAGGGGTTCCTCAATCCCAGGGGGATCCAAAGGGCGCCTCTCCTCTTTTTCCCACCTCCACGCCAACAATAACAGGGAAAAATGGCCTGGGTACATCTTCTGTGTTCATCAATATTCACTCATTCATTGTGTGTCCTGGCAGCTGAAATGTCGACAAGCGCAGCGCAATGTTATGGTGCCAGAAATCCACTTTGTCACAGCGTTGAGGATGTCTGAAATTGAGTTTGGAATTAAAATAGAACAATCCCCAATTTTTCTGGACTGGAGGCAGAGCCATACATTTCACTTAGCAACTGAAAACTTTTCAATTTGTGCGGCGGGTCTTCAACAGAACCCAGCCATTAAATAGGTCAGGGATGGATGTACCCAGGCTACATTGCTCTCTGAGTCAAACAAAGAAAGTTGGGAACACATTCGTCAAACATCATTTGTTTCACACAGAAGGAAATGTTTGCAAGTAGGGTTTATACATAAAAGCAAATAATGCATTTAATAGATGTACGAGCTTGGGTTTTCAAAAGCAATGCCAGGACTAGTAACTTCTTTCAAAGCTTGTACTGGTAAGACATCTAAAAAGGAAAAATCCAAATGACACATATTTCCATTACAATGTTTAGTCACAGGAAACAAATCCTTGGGTGGGATTCATCACAGCCAAATATAATGATTATCACCACATGGTGACTTTGACAAAGCTGGCCCTGATTTGACTCACTGACCTGGTCCTGCATGGGTCACAAACTAGATAAAAGTTTACGACACTGAGGCAGCGAACCTCTGAACATATCTCTGTTAAAACTGTCTTTGGTAAATGTGGCGATATCTGCCAGGATCAATACGCGCTGGTGATATGTTTTTAATCATGCGCATTTTCATGTTGGTTGCACAATGCCGCTCAAAGCACATGTCCACTCATGGGGTCAGTGATTTCTACTGTTTCAATATTAATTAACCTCACTTTTTACACTGTGATTTTATTCCCAACTGTAATATATGTTTGTTTTTTATCTGTTTAAGTGTGACGAGTAAGTTTTATTAAGAATTTTCATCCTTCAAATATGCATAATTTAAATGATTTCTCTTCATTTGGAGCTCTTTAAAAATTGTGTTTATGATTGCAGACATATATGCTTGTGTCCATCTTCATAACATTGAGAACATGTACAACTGAAGCTAATCCCCTTTTGCCCCCTTCTAATCCCACTCTCCCAAAACCACTTCATAATGATCTCCTCTTGAAAGGTAAATCAATTATATAACGACAACAAAAGAACCGTTTTGTCATAAAATGGTAATTAGTTTGGGTCCTGACCTCCCTCTTGGCACCTCGACTCCCCCAGCTGAGGACCGGGGCAGGTCCGCAGTCCACACTTAACGACAGGCAGGCGTAACACACTGGCTGAGCATTGTGGGGCCTTTGTCTTCATTCAGGGAGAGATGAAGTTCTTGCCGCCACGTTTATCAATCATGGAGGGGCTCCAGCTGTTCCAAGGGCTTCGGCCTGGCGTCAACAGCCGGCTTTACAAATTGTCTGTGAATAGCAAGGAAAAGGGACCCCCACTACACACACACACACACACCCCACCATGCACACACAAACAACATTAGCATCAACATACATGCACAGACCAGCATCACATGTACACAATCACACCATTCACTACACAAAATACATACACCAAAGCTTTCATCGCACATGCAGAGATGCACCAAAACAACATAATGCCTCCTATTGTTCACGTCTGGTGACTAATGTTTCTCCACAGCCTTTTCACAGGCACGACCAACCCTGCCGTCTGCTCGGTGCAATTACAAGATGGATTAACAGCTCTTTCTAACACTGTCATCATCACCTTGCATGCCTTGGAGGAATCTGAGGATGCTGCATTCCTGGGTGAGAATCACATCCAATTACAGCGTAATGAATGAAGGAGAGACACATCCTGCTGAACAAATCCGGCATTCTGAAGCCAGTCTGAATGAACTCACAGCGCAGTTTTGAGGGCATTTTCTGTCTACAGATCCTAAGCATCGATGTCTCAGCATGTCAAAGATCAACTAGACTTCAACATCAAACCCTGCAAGTGAAGAATTATTATTGTATGTTTGCATGAAGGATTTGTAGGCTTTCACCGAGATGAAAAGTTACATGTGTCAAAAATATAGATAGATGAACATGTGAATTAGTTGTTCTCCAAGGTCAAATAGTGATTGCATTGTTACTCTCACATGCCACGGTGTCAAAGCGATCTGCACTCTCACTTTTTCATCATATTCTGCACATCAACAAAATAGCAAGAGAATGAAGTGAAGGGGACACCGAGAGAAAGAGAAGAGAAAACAACAGAGAGAGGAAGAAGAAAGAGGGAGAATGAGAGAGGGATACAAATTGATCGTTTGGTGACAAGATCGGTCATAGTCATCCTGGGCGGATGGATGAATGTCTTTGATGGCCACTGCAGGTTCAGGCAGGGAGAGTGTCTGAAAACAAGAGAAATTGGTTTGGGCCCTCGGGAGGGGAATCAATGTGTGAGGGGCATGTAAGTGCTGTGGTGTTGCTCTGTGCAGGGTTATGGGGGTTGTCCGAAGTTTGAGCGGTCTTGAATGTGACAGCTAAATTCTGTTTTGAAATGTCCCTGTTTTGTTTGCTTTATAACAAAGAAAAACTCTCAGGGTTGACATTTTTAGACTTTTAGGGTCAGTTTCCAAATGTTTATGTATAATTGGTATGTTTACAGGCAGCTGCGGTGGCATTTAGACATCCCAGTTATAGATCAAAGTTCTGCTTCCTGTAGGTTGCCTGTAACTCTCCTAAATGCAACTGTGCAAAAGCTTACAGTAGTAGGATGTAAGTACTATTATTTATGCTGAAGCATGATCAAATAGGATTGGGTTGAGGCCACTTTTGTTTTTTTTGTGAGCCCATGGAACCTGACGTAGTTTGAAAATTCATAGTTCTTAATACAAAAGTAGATGTGTTATTTAGGTCTCTACATGTCCAAATAATTTAGGATTGTGTGGACTCAACCAGGGAAGTACACACGGTAGCTGTATTTTTAAAAGACAACAAACAGACTTACCTTCATCCACACATTTTCCATCTATTGCTTCCACACTTTACTTGTCAGATGGTTTGGTGATTATCTGTTCAGCATGGCTCACTAGTTTCATTTTACGTTAACAATGACAACAGTTTGAAAGGCACGACCTGCTGTGCTTATACACTGAATTTCACATTCAATTTGATAATAACAGGACAATTAAATGACAGATTAGTGGTGGTAATTTTATCATTACTTGAAAAAACTATGTTTTTTGTGATAGTATTATAAAATATACTGTAGCTTCACCACCTTTTGTAGGTTAATAATATAATGGAAACAATAGCAGACAAAACAGCAATGGGAATGTTTTGTTCTGTAAACCAAAAACTCTAAGTGACACATTCTTTCCAATTATTGCAACAACATTCATTTTCTTTATTCATGACAAACATGCATTTCTAATGTATATTTAAATGTATCTAAGGGTTATTAAAGTAGATATTGGAGTTCACATGAACTTTTACTCCACGGACACCTGCTGTCCAGCAGGCCTGAGGAGGTCAGCAGCTGGCACAGTCACCATGGTTCATTTTTTTCTTTTATGGAAAATATTGCCCCTCCAAACGATGTCCCTTCATCTTCTTTGGGTTGTAGGGCTGCAGTTTTTAATCTTTGACCAGCGGTTGTGTGCGAGGAGGTGCGACAGAGCCTAAATATAACCTATCTATATATATCTGTGGGAAGCGCTGCTGTACTTCCTCAGTAATGGCAGCCACTGTCTATGTCAGGGAGGCAGTAATATAATTTTATTAACTGATTAGTCTCTATTTTCAGGTTGGAAACAAGAATCAAAATCTCATGCGAGTTAATGGGTCCGTTGTGACTTGAATAGTTATATGTGTTGGATTATGATTTTTCTGCAAGAGTCTCTTTGAACGATGATGCAACCGATTGTCAAGTCGACTGTGCTCTGGTAATGAGTCATATGACAACTCCTGGGGTTTCTCCTAACTATCCAGGCAAATGTCAGCAGTCTACCCCCCATTCCCTTTGATGACCTATTAAATATTATGAGGACCCCCTCCTGTGTGCACTGTAGTCTCACTCATATCAAGATGGTGTTTAATGCCCATGAGACAAACAACAGACAGATTAAAGCTATTATACCCTGCTGCACTCCCACATTCACCCTCTACAAAGTGGAGTTGTGATGAGTTGTTTAATAGTTTTTAAGGCTTAAAACCAGTTTATGCAGTAAAGCACGATGTTGGGTTATAAACGACGTCTGAGAATTTATAGTGCAGCGATCTTTCAAAACAGAAGGAGACTTACTGACCTCTGCAGCAGCTCCATCTCACAGCGTGTCGCTAGACGTAGAGGACTTACCTCCCTCTGATCCAGCAGTTGTTATTAATAAAGCTACTGAAACCTAATCAACTTCAAATACTGCTTGCCAGACAGACAATATATTAAGACAAATGATGATTTTATTCTCAGTCAAATGACAGGCTTCAAATTTCTTGAACACGGTCATTTTCTGGCTTGTGAGTCAAGTATAAGGAGCTAATTATATGACAATCTGAGCAAAAATAACTTCTCATTTTCAAGAATAATGGGAAAGAAATGTTATAGATTAATGGCACTATTTATCTTTTTTAAATTTCTGTCTTTCTCTGGTGATGGCAGCGCTCCCCAAGGAAAATATTCATAAAATGAAATTGAAGTCATAACTTAATAGGTTATTACAATTTTTGAATGCATATCACTTCTCCTTTTGCAGCGCTGTAAATTTAAATTGAAGTTTGTGGCGTTCGGAGACACCGGCAGGAGTTTTTTATGGTGGCACAAGAGAGGGAGGACATGCATCTCTGTCAGTGGGGTATTTGCCATTCTAATTTTATGGCAGGCCAGATTATCAGGCAGGAATGTCAGTGTGCGCAGGCAGACTGCTGACAACACCTCAGCCCTCAGCTATGTTTCCATTAGAGAGAGCCAGCGTCCAGGGGTTTGTTCCCTCTATTATTTTCTATTTCTGTCTTTTATCTTGATTTAAACTTAGACTTTCTGCATATTCCTCTTCTGTCATTTCTCGTCCTTTCTCGCCTTATACTCTCGCTCTCTTTCTTCCCTCTTTCCCGCCCTCTTGATCTGCTATTTTCCGTATTCTCACTCCACTTTCTGTCTATTGTTGCTCCTCAGGGGAGCTGAGGTCTCAGCAGAGACGGAGGAGACGGAGAGAGACGCTCCACGAATCTCAGGAGGTAAAGCGAGTGAAGGTGGGACACCTATCTTTAGCCTACTATCTATGTATGGACACAGTGCTAGAGAAGGTAAGCTGTATTGAGGTGATTGAAAGAGAGAGAGGGGGAGTGGTGGAGGTACTCCCCCTCACCTAGATGGATGGGTGGGAGGTTTTTTTTCCCTCAAGGTCAGGGGGCAAATTTATTTATTTCCCTGGAAGTTACAATGAAATTTTACTGAGTACTTTGCTCTGATGATGAGAGAGATCAGTGGCCATAAATTTGTCTTGCCATTTGGTTGCCAGTGATGAACCATTTATTATGCCGCCTTCAAGGACACAGCATGGTATTTGTATGATAGTACTATTCTATGTAATGATATCCATTTCATTGTGCCATATAACACAAATGAGAAAATTAAGAATAAAACTGGTCGGTGCAGAGCAGGTCTAGCTTTATTCATAGCTATCTAATGGGATATGTACGGTAAATGTCACATGATATTTGTGATGCCCTTGTCCTGGTTTTACAGTAGCGGTTAAAACATTGACGTTGTCTTGCCTTCGAAAATTACCACAGGCTTTTGGGAAAGTGCAGCACAGGTGAAAAGCTTGAGTTTTAGTAAATGTGTCTTTTTTTTTGCCGTAAAATACAACATTGATGCGAATTTCTTCGCTGATGAATAGGATAATAAGAAATGACCCCCATAAACAACACATTTAGCTCATGTTTGGTTTCTCACATTTATCATTCCCAAAGAATGGGGCTCTTGACTGCACCGTTTAAGCCTTTTTTGGGCTGCCTTTCAACACACAACAGACACCTCCGGGGTCCCTCAGAGGGCATGATGAACTAATGCTCTTTATTGATTGGCCATTTAAAAGCCTCTTGTAGCCTTGGGAGTATGTTAATGCTGTGAGGCCCTTTACCCCGCTGCCCTGTGGTCCCCAGGGCCCTTGTGTGTATTCCTCAGTGGGCTATCATAGGGAGTTCATTAATGGTCAATTACTAATATCTGATGAGACTCATTGTGTTAGGACGACGCTGTAATGGGCATCTGTGTCTCTCCTCCTTTGCAAGCAGACATCACAACAACGCGGGAGCTTTTGCTGCGGCGGGATCGAGAGGAACGTGTTAGGGATAAGGAACAACATCCCATTATTTAAGTGTCTGTGGGTCTTATGTGGATTTAATGTTATTTATTTGACTTGTTATCTCAAGTTTGTACGTGCACAGTTTTTGCACAGGGGCCCGCAATGATACCGCTGGGAATTTTTCCTCAGTAATTTTCGATTTCTGCTTAGTGATCGTGCATGGTGAAAACCTTAAAGTATAACATATTGGAGCGCTCACACAATCCTGACCTGTTTAAGCGAGGAGACAGCGAGGAGACTTGATAGGCTGTCAGACCCCAAGTGGGAAGAGCCCCCTGAATGTGGTGAGGCATTTTTTGACTGCTGGGCTGATATTTGTGGATAATAAAAGGAATAAATCAGACAATGGGGCCGAATATTTCATTTGTTATCCATATTCCTTATGGGAAAATAATACAGAAATGTAAAAACAGCAATTTCCCACCAGCCACTGCTGGGATTGTGCTAGAGCAGAAGGGCTGTTTTCATGTCTAAAGATAAAGTGCATCTTTACCAGCCTATTCTCTCTGGTATAAATCTAACAGGCAGCTTATACATTACCTGTTCCAGTGCAACATGGTTCGGCATAAGTATGCTATTGTAATATGTTATTATTTCCAAGTATTTTCCTCCTCTCACTTCCTGTCTGTCAACATGTCTCTTTCTCGTTCTATAACTGTCCCTCCTCTCTTCCTTTCATGTCCTCTATCTGCTCTCCAGAGGACAATATTCAATCTCTGGGACTTTGGTAACTTGTGATGACATTATAATGACCCTCACTTTTTGCTCCTTCTGGTGATGGATCCCCTGAGTTATCTGTCCTTCTGCTGAGAGGTGAAGATTACCTCAATGAAATGGGCCTGTGAAGTGATAACCACCGTGCATTGTAGGCTACCTGGCTACTTTACAAATGGCTGAAAATAAACACATTAGGGTAGAGTAGAGGTACTGTGCTCGACTGGCTTTGGTCCCAGACTCAGTCAAAGTTTGGAATGCAGCTTTGTGTATCCTATCGCTGATAAGGAGCTAATCAGAAGGAATATTAAACAAAAAGGGATTCTAAAGGGAGTCAAAGGCCACAACCTATCAACATAAATTCATGAGCAATGAAGCTTTTGCCAACTTAAATCACCAGTTTCACTTTTCAACATACTGATTTCAACTTTTAAGAAATCCATGATATCTCTGCTGAAATGTAAATATTGCTAATTCAAAATTGTTTTAACATTTTTTTCAGGTTTCATGATGAATGTAAGGCAAAATGTACACAGCAATGATCCCAGCAGTAAACTATTTGTGCAGACCTCCGATGCCAGGAAAAAGGCAGATTTGGTGGGCTTTTTATGCCAACTCAGCACTCAGTCCCACAGTGCCCCGTCCCATCTGTCAGTGGACCCTTTAGTGGCGGGGAGCACGGGGGTGACAGGGGCTGAAAGCAGGGCAATTGGGATCAGTCTGTGTCTCACTGCCATTATCAGTTTTGCCCTGACAACACATCTACTTTTCACTTTCACCCCAGAAACAGGGGAGGCGGAGGGGGCCTTCACAGATGCAGTGGCAAGAGCAGATGATGGACATGAAAATGAGCTTCTTTTTGTCAACCCCCCTTCACTGAGTGGATGGAAGAAATTGTGGTGTCATATCTTGTCAGAGCTTGGCTCCTGGCCAAGAGGATATTCATGCTGAAGTACATTCAGACACCTTTTCTACTTCTGATTTCACAATAAACAGGATGAACAGGCAGGAAAGTGCTGCTTGTTACACAGAACTTCACAGAGGTTAGCAGGAATTCATTGAAATACACTGCAAACGTTTGTCATGGTAACTCGACATGGTCAGTTTGGTCACCTAGTGACAATTTGTTCAACTTCCTCAACATCATTTAAATTGGACTACAACTTATTTAGGTTTGCAGCTCTATACACATGTCAAACATTACTGCAATGGCTCACATTTCCTTTCATCCTCCTACTATTATGTTTTTTTTGTAGAGAATAATAGTTGCAATAATATTTGCCTTGTTTGTTACAAGTGTATCGTGCATTTTATTCAGGCTCTGATGCTCTTAAATACATCAGGATGGAACATGTGACACATTTAATATAACTGTCGGTATACAACATCTGAATTTTTCTACAATTAATATAATATAATGGAGCCAAAACTGTAAATGCAAACCGTAAAAAAAATGTTAAATTGTGCTTATGCTAAATAGTTTTTTTTCCACAAGTGAAGCGATTCTGCTGAATGATTTGGACAGTGGGCAGAGGTGTGGGCGAGGGGCCGCTCTTCTGATCATTGATGACCGCCAGCCAGCGCAGGCCTCTGGTGATATGTGGGCCCTCCAAGCTCCGGTAGCCCCACCACACCACACCCTGGGGTGCAACAAATATCAGCATTGTAATTTCACGCCTGTGATTATTATCGCGAGCTCTATCTCTGACTGGGAATCCTCCACCCATCCTCTTTAGTCCTCCCAGCTGAGATACTGTTTAACAGCCTCTCCCCTGGACCTGTGCTCCTATACACACACACACACACACACACACACACACACACACACACACACTCTCAGACACACTTATGTGTGTACACACACAAACACACACAATCTTTTAATGTCTGCCCTCCATGGGCCCGTTTTAGGCTTTCTCATTTCTTCTTCTCCCATCTTCTGTTAATTCACCACCATCTGCCTCAGCATCTGTCTGAGGAGCCAGAAAAAAAGTGTCTGCCATGCCGAAGAAACTGAATGCATTTTCCCGCTCTTGTTTTTTTTTTTTTCTCTCTTCCTTTAGCTTCTTTTCTCGATCCCTCACCCTCTTGCCCATTTAAATGCCAGTGGCAGCATCCTCTTCAGTCTTTGTCTGGCCTTCTGCTCCACCCCCTCTTCTGACTGGCACTGATTTAGCATAATCTCTAAAAAAAAACCTTGATCCCACCCCCTCAGACTCCTCCAAACACACGCACACACACACACACACACACACACACACACGCACACACACACACACACACACACACACACACACACACACATACACACATACACATACTCTATCTTTGTACTGAAACTCTTCCTCTCCAGCTCATCATCCATGACAAAAAATAACAGAAAGGACAGTCACATCCTCTCCATATCAAAGCACCATACGGGCAACAGGAACATGCAAAGTAGTTTTCTCATAACTACATATTCGACGAAAAATCCAACTCACCCTCTTGTGTTTCCAAACAATCAAACATAAACTATTTAGGAAATATTACTGCAGTAGGCAGATAGCAGGGTAACAAAGGTTTTCTCAGGAGATCAGGCAAAAGGTGAGCTTCATGAGGAGGATTAAAGGAAGATGCTACCTGCTCGTTACCGTCAACTCTGCACCGTTAATCCATCCATCCCTGTACTGTATTTAACTGCTTCCAGATCCCTCTTCCTCCCAGTCTTTTCTTTTCCATCTCCTGCCTGCCCTCCTATCTTTCCTCTGTCCTTTGAGGTTTCAAGCAACAATAGGACTGTCCACTCCACAGCCGGCCTGAGCCACAGGATCCGTTCCTGCCAGAAGAGATTACAAGCATTCTTCGGCCGGGCCGGAGTTGTCGTGGAGACCTGTGATGCTGGGAGCTTTCTGAGGACACTTTTCTGAACATGTCTGTGCCTTTTAATGGAGTTTTTTCATTGGTTTTCGATTGTTGCAGCAACATGGAGTTTGTAAACAAAATATCATTTTTGTTGGAGAAGAAGAACAAGCCTTAAATGTATCTTTAGTACTTTAGCTAAGTGTTGCAATTAGCACTTGGCTGCAGGGGAGTGAGCATCCTCTTACAGTTAGTAAGAAACAAAAATTTAGCAATAATTTGTGTTTAGTGCTTCTTGTCCTCCATTGTGGAGGAATCATAATTTTTTTTCAGTTATTGCTACCTCGGGTTAGCTAACCAAGGATGTAGATAATTGCCTGCATTAACAGTGATGAAATAACATTTCTTGCTTTCTCTGTAACTACCTAGCTGCAATTTGCATTTGATCACTGCTTTGTTTATATTTCATTTTATTTGCACAAACATAAAATGTCATTAGATCCAGATAGTGAAAAAAAGAGAGAATGTGACAGGAGAGGTCAATAAGCCACAGGCTTATACAACGGACCTCCCCTTAAAATTAGGAGAAAAACTAACAATAACAAAAAGGGAAAAAAAATTAACCTCATAATTTAGAAGAATAAATGACAAGATCCACACAAAATAAGCAGAAAATCTAACCAATCAGTCTACACAACGCTTTAACAACAACTAAATGAAAAACAACACAGGGGGGGAAAAACACAAAGAAAATAAATAAAGATAATAATGATGGTATGATGATATGTAATGATTATGACTGTATAACAGAGACAAACACCCTAACATTATTTGTTTTAAACACATCCTCCTTACCTCTTTCAATTCTTCAACCCCCCTATTTCTATATATTTCTGTCCCTAATTCTTTCAGTTTCTTCCTGTTGTGTTTACATCTTGGGAGTGACATGCATCCTCTCAGGCCCACTGGGACCTGCAGTTTTTATTTAGCAGCTCTTCAAGACGGCAGTAAAAACCCTCCACTAACACTTCAGGCCGTGCCATAGGCGAGAGGTATTAGTGTCATCTAATTAAATACAGGCCTCTGCTCCCTGCTTCCCCTCAGGCCAACATGGATTGGACAGCTTTGTGCAATATGTTAAAACATATGGGACAATGCTTGGGACTCTGAATAGACATGTGATCTTTGACACTGAAGCCACTTCAGATAATTGTGATTATAATTCAGTTTCTTCTTCTTCATCGTACTATTTGTTATATTATCTGGCAATTCTGTCTGTGGGCAATGATGTCCTCCCTCCCTCCCTCCCTTTCTCTCATTTCCACATTCTCTGTGGGGAGCTTTTGTCTGATAAGTTGTCACATTAAGTGCTAACTTTTGGGTGATCGCTGGGCTTTTCTTTCTATCTCTTTATGGCCAGACCCTCTAATAGCTGTCCTGCGGCAGCGCCCCAGGCAATCATGTTACAAATAAACAGGCTGACACAGTCATTTACTCAAATCGTCCCTACACTATTCACAACCCTCCCCTGGTGATGATCCTTCGAACAACAATTATTTCAAATGTCAAAGATCCAAGCCTTCGGGGCATAGACAATTGAACATTAAAAATCTATTACCAAACACTTTAAGATATATATGTAGGCTTTCTTTATTTCCATTTCACAAGATTAGAATAAAGAGAATCTGTGGAGCCCAACTTAGAAGAATAACAACAAAAAAAAACCAAGCAAATATGATATCATAGTGTTTAATGAACATTGTGAATTGTGTCAAATTCTTTTAATGTATGACGCTGTAATGTGGACATAAGTCACCAGTGCTGCAGAAAGCTCCAAGGTGATGGAGTTTGCCCACAGAGGTTTGTGTTTGTGTTTCATCTCCTTGTTTCCTTTTGTTTCACGTGACTCCATCCGGAGGGGTGGCCTCTGATTTGCTGTCACACCGAAGCTGTTCTACATGACCTCTCCTAACCTCATCTCATCTCTCCGAGGACTCCCAGGAACCTTCGGCCGACCCTGCTGATGAGATGAAGATATTTCCACTTCAGCCAACTGAAACCTCTGGGCGATAATGCTTCTTGAGTAATCACAAAAGTCAAAGTTTGACCTGTCTGATTCTTTGATTATCACATTTAAAAAGTGATATTTAAAAAAAAAAAATGAAATATTTCAGATTAAAGTTGTCTCTCTTTGTCGGTATTGCTTTGTTCAACAACTTCCTGTTTTGCCTTCTTGTAAGAAAATTGTCCAGTTAAGATATATAAGCCGAATATAAAAGTATTGCTTGCAGTATCAATCTATTCCATGTGATTGCCCCTCGTGATGGGCACAAAATCCATCCAGTGATGATGACATCCATCTCCGCCTTGATATTGCATGTATTTGTTACCTTTGGCCCAGTAGCAATAAATCCAATCTAGTCTCCTGGATGTGGACTGCTGACCACTGCCAACTGGTCAAGGAGAGTGGCTACAGTTCATTTCACATCAACGCCTGTCATGATTACAGAGAGATTAAATACCCCCCCCCCCCAACCCTTACTTTGCTGCTCCTCTCATCACATAAGCATACATATTTTAGATCAAATGTATGTTGTATATTTTTTGTGTTCGGATCATCTCAGACTTTGTAGAGTTAATTTAACTCTGGATTGAGTGAAATCTTTCATATTAAATTCTGTCATAAAATACAATGTCAAAGGTGTTTTCTTCAAATGAACTTTGACAGTGTTATTGTGATGTTTTATGACTCTCTGAAATGTAACTGCATATCTAACACACTGGTTAACTCCCACCTTCACCATGGAACCAAACCTCATTAAATTTAACTCCATAAGGGAACCATTCTCTTTGGACCTCCATTCCCTTTGCATTAAGTAAACAAAGTATTTCTGTATTATTGTCCTGCTTGCTGTGATTTAACAGCATTATTATCTCACAAAAGGTTCCAGATTTGGAGAAAGCTAAATATTTTTAATATTTTCCTATTTTGAACTTTGACATCACAACTTTGCCAGTATATCCAATATGACATTGACTCATGTTGACTATTTCAATTATACAATCAGAAAGTTAAACACCTCTCAAATCTAAAGTTGAGTTTGGTGGACTGAAAAAAATGTTGGTCCACAGAGTCATAACAATCACAATATTTACAGGATTAATGTGGTTCACTCATGCTACTTAATTTATTTATATATACTGGATTTCTCATGAATATAGAATTTGAATGTCTGACCGTGACAAATATTGCTATATATCCTGCATGTTTTAATTAAATGTGTTGAAACATTACGTTCACTGTGTGTTGTATTAGATGTGTAGTTTCTGTAGCGAGCTCATTTCTAACAAAACACACTAGTGTTGAGTAAAGCTAGCAACAACTGACAGTGTCGAGGAGTATTACACTTGAACTACAGTCAGTGGTTGCTTCACTATAGTGGCAAACACTTTGAAAATAGTTAATTTGACATTGTGGTTTGGACCCATAAAGACACTTTTAAAGTGTTGAAATGATATCTGATAGTGTACATTTGTGCTTAATTATCATGGTGAATATTAGACAAAATATCTATTGTGCACAGAATATGATGCTCTCTAAGTGACTAAACTCAACTTGCGAGCACCCATGACTCTCATCAGCAGTGATTTCTTCAGCCGAACATGACCATTCCCAGGGGAGCTCTAAGTGGAGCAGATGGTAGACAAATAGCTTGTAAGGGGGAAAACATTAAGGAGTTTTATAGGATTTTCATCAATTACCTGGGCTAATGTATGAAGATAGAGTAAAAAAACGTTATTTGTAATGTTTTTGACAGCACCATCAATATATTAATAACAGCAATGTAAGACATCGATCTTAATCTCCAACTTCTAAGGATGTTCCTCAACAACACCACACCTGACAGCAAAAGTTGGATTCTTGATCTCGTAAGAGGCCGAGTCTGCATTTTCATGTATCATACAATAATTTCTGTCACAGCCCTCATGTTGGGCCTCCAGTACATTCCATAATAGCAGGCAATGAGCGAGTCATTGTCCTGCATTAGCATGTTACGGTACAGGGAGTTAAAGAGCCCAATTTCATCTCTGCCCCACATCCTTCTGATGGGATTGGCTCTGATGGGCCTGTGTGTTGGAAGGCTGGTTGCTGGCTTCATAAAGGATGATATGAGTGTATCATGGCTTCATAAAGCAGTAAAACATGCCTCTTGGAGCCTGGAAAGAAGACTAAACTCAGACCTATTACAAAACAACCCGTCAATACGAGTTACACATGTTAGACCGAGAGAGTTGCAACCATTTCTTTCATTCTAGAGACCCTGCTGTAAATAACCTCTGATGTAAAACGTTGAATACATTCACTGGTTAAA